CCCCCCCTCCAGCGGGGCTGAGCTGCGTGTGCGGAACGTCAGCGCAGCTGCCATTTTACTCTCAGACATTTTGGAAACGCTTAACCCTGTGCGCCATGGAGCGCAGTCCGCGTGCGCCCTGCGTGGGCTCTTTCCTCGCCTCCCCCTCCCGGGGTGGGACTTTCAAAGCTCTTTGCTTCACTGGATTAGAAGCAATTTCACAGGCTGTGATCTAGTGCAGAGAGGGAGAACTTGGTTCCTTGCGCGTGTCCGCCCAAGCTGCGCGCTGCGCCCTGAAACGGAGAGGTTGGGTTCCCTCTCCCGCTCGCAGAGGAACAGCAGGGGGGTGACTATAGCCCGGGCGCGCTTCCAGGAACGGTCAGAAATGGCTTCCTCTGGGTTGAACTCATCCCATGAGACGGCCGCGTTTCCCAGAAAGCAGCCGGCGGAAAGGGGACAGCGCAGCGTATGCCCCGGGCTGCGGTGAAGTCAGATGTTTGGGTGTGACTGGCAATGAGGAGGGGCGAGCGCCGGGTCCTGCCCCTCCGCCAGGGCTTCTCCAAAGAGCGCACGGACTCGCTCCTGAAAGTCGGAAAGTTTGAGAGGAAATTGGCGTCTCGCTCTGGCTGCGAGGGCACCTCGGGGAATGAATCTTTCTAGGACAGGTGGACAGAAATCACGGGAGGGAAACTGGCCTGTTTCTAGCGGTGCGCTCTGTGTATTCCCCACAGACGCCACTCGCATCTGCCAGTGATAACCAGCCCCTTCTCCTTGCTCGTTTCTGTAGGCAGCAGCGGGAATCCATTGTAAACCTCACAGAGGAGGGGGACACGCAGGAAGAATAGGTTGCGCCTGGACAAGGATTTCAAAAGCCAACAAAAGGGTATTTCTGCGCCTGTCGATGCACAGAAAAGTTCGATACTGGGCGTAGGACCTAAGTACTCTCCATCAATTGACCCAGCATCCAGAGGCAGCCACCTCTGGGGTGGAATGGGGCAGGCTTTGAAGCATGGACTTGCTAAATATCAGTTTAGAAAGAAGTCTGTGTCTGCTTGCACATTATTTAACTCATTGATTTTTTTTCAATGAGTTTTTGTAGCTGGTAAGTGGTGGTGATGAGGGTGGGGGGAGGAGGGATTACTATGAATAAAGAATCCAGGCTTTAAATGCAAACTAATATACCTTTTGAAGAGCTACTCCTAGAGTAA